GGGAATGGGTTGACGGAGTGTTAGGTATGTGGTTCAGGAAGTGGTTTATAATGGGTTACTCACGTGGGCAACATATGTGTTAATATGTGAAGTGTCAGTGTCACTCAGGTGTTGTTCTCGGTACGTTAGTCAGTGAGAAAACTGACACACATCTTTGGCAGATAATGAACCCTTATGTTCTCGTTGTCCTGTGGGAAGCCACTGCCAGGTCACTGTATGAAGAACCTATGGGGAACCACTGCCAGGTCACTGTATTGGGAAGCCCCGGGCCAGGACCCGTCCTGGTGAACCTACCTGTGCCTGTTCTCTTCTCTAATGTATTCGGGTTAAGTTCCTGAAGTTTTATTTCGTATTTCACTCTCCATTCAGACCACTCAGTAGTCTGAGTGTCACTATAATGGTAAACAGTGGCCACTGGATTACCAGTGCTGGACTCCAGTGGTCTGAGTGTCAGTTCAGGTGTCCGTGTGACTCAGTCCACCTTAAATCCACCTCAGTAAGTACACATTGTAATCTCAGACTGCAGTGAATACACGCAGAGTTGTGTTCCCAAATCCAAACTATCTGTTTTTGTTTTCGATCTCATTTTTCGTCAATGTTGCAACACTTGCTCATACCTCCTTCTATTAATTCGTTTCTTTAAGTCATTCCTTTTCACTCTGGTTTATCTTCTGCCTACTGTCTGCTTGTGTTCCACCTGCTTATTACTGTTCCGCAGACTATTATACAGAGACTCTCCTAGGAATATTTCTTTCAATATTAATTACACGTAACAGGTAGGCAGTGGTGACAGTCACTCAGATGAATTAACAAGCATTGGATAATTTAACTATTCTCATGCAATGTTTACAGTGCTAGTTAATGGTCCAAGTCGGACCGAAACGTCATGAGTTTTGGTCTCCTATGTGCGAGTTACTCGTGTATTACTCAGTATGTGATGCTGGTCGGTTTATCAGGTTTAAAGTCAAATTACTTCACCAGTCATTATGCATGTAACCTGTACACCAGCAGTCAAGGATTATTTAATCCCTAAGACCCGCGTCAGGAAGCACTTCTGCTTGCTGACGAACCTTACTTAACCTAACCTTAAAACAGGGATTTAAGTAAGCCCTCAGACTAAATACACTTAGGGATACACAAACCTTAGTGTGTATAACCTTGAATGAGGTAATAGACTTACTAGTCTGGCCATTAAAGCTTCTCAGATTCCTTAAGAGGAATTGTGCATACCAAATAAAGTCTAATTGAGAAACGTTTTTCATTTGACAGTTTCTCAAGATACATTTAATATTAAAGGAAATATTAAGACCTTTTTAGTGCGTCTGGAATAACAATAAATGTCATGATATAAGGAAATACCCAGAAGCTCGAAAGGGACATTTATTGCACAAGTTTGACACAAAAAAGTGTTTCTTTCTCTTAAAGGAATTGTCACTGAATATCCCGGAGCAAAGTGTGAGCAGAGTTCACCTTGGAGACGAAGATGTGTTTCAAAGGTCATGCTAGAGGACCAGAGCAACGCGGACATGCCACTCGCTCGTACCTTCCTCAAGGTCATAATAAAATCAAACAACTATGTCAAGAAAGGTCTGGCTGAGGCTGGATCTGGAAATGCGTAGTCACCGCCTGGCAACGCGGTCACCGCCTGGCAACGCGGTCACCGCCTGGCAACGCGGTCACCGCCTGGCAACACGGTCACCACACAACAGTAAGATACAAATCTGTGTACTGAAATAAGTTGGACTGCTTAGAGAAATTTTTTTTTCAACGCGTAGATTTTTTTTTTTACACCGAGTCCCAATTTTAAAAAAAATTTTGTTTTTGAATGCTTTCTTATTTCCCAAATTATGGTGTTGATATAACCATTTGAAGTATTTGTGGTGAGATATTACGGAAAATAAATATATATATATAAAGTCCATATTAAGGAAAATTGAGTAAATTACAACATTTAGATATAAAAGTAGACAAAAATATAATGTGATCCTTTATTAACTCTGTCCCGGACTTAGCCTCTTAGTTGATGGCGTGATCATTCAAGCTATTGGGGCTAGCAGCACGCAGTCCAACCCGGAAACTGACTAAAGAAACTTATCAAGTTCCGTCTTGAAGACAGCCAGGGTTCCATTAGTAATTCCCTTTATACAGTAAATGAACAAAATCCAAGTGAGTTATGAAGGAAGCTGAGAACACAACAGTTAAGGGAAACTTCTAAATAAAAGACCTGGGAGTAACCATTACCTTGAGCCTGACACTTGAAGCACGTATATAGAGAATAACATCAGCAGCAGAGGTTAACCTCTTAAACATTCTAGTGAAGAGTCTAGATTAAAATTGTTCGTAACAGCCTTTATCTGGTATGTAGTGGCCATTCTCGAGCATGCAGCGCCGCTGTGTAACCCTGCCGCTGTGTAACCCTGCCGCTGTGTATCCCTGCCGCTGTGTAACCCTGCCGCTGTGTAACCCTGCCGCTGTGTAACCCTGCCGCTGTGTAACCCTGCCGCTGTGTAACCCTGCCGCTGGGTAACCCTGCCGCTGTGTAACCCTGCCCTATATCAAACACAAGACGAGAGAGGAAACAGATGCAAGGAAAGAATGGTAAAGTTTGGTTGGTTCTTTGAATAATTGGTCTTAATTCTCTTGCCTTCACGGAGGTCATTAGAACTGCTGATTATAATTATTATAATCATGGGGGAGCGCTAAACTCGTGGGATTATACAGCGCATGTGGGGTGGATGGAAGGTATTCAAACTCAATTCAGGAACCGGAGCACAGATCCAATTCCCTAGATCAAGAGCCCCTCACCAGTGTCAAGGACGTATTGTATACCAGGGATGTGACAAGACTAAGATGACTGAGAGTACACGAGGACGTGTTGTTTACCAGGGATGTGACAAGACTAAGATGACAGAGTACACGAGGACGTGTTGTGTTCCAGGGATGTGACAAGACTAAGATGACTGAGAGTACACGAGGACGTGTTGTGTTCCAGGGATGTGACAAGACTAAAATGACTGAGAGTACACGAGGACGTGTTGTGTTCCAGGGATGTGACAAGACTAAGATGACTGAGAGTACACGAGGACGTGTTGTGTTCCAGGGATGTGACAAGACTAAGATGACTCATGTATAACTTGCACACCTAGACAAGCTGCAGACTTAACTCAGGATGTTTCTTCATCACAAGTGTGGGTAAAAAAAAGGAAATGAACTGCACACTGATGCAGTGTCGACTCCATACAGAAGATCATGTAATATACATGACGTGGCTGTTACAACAGTGGGTCAGAAACTAAGAAACAGGACCTGGAGCTAGAACTTATCTTCCCGAGAAATGATGTGTTCTCACAGAAAAAAAAGCAAGCTTTTATAGACATCAAAAGCTTTGATATCATTGAGGTCTATTATTATTATTATACTCGTGGGAAAGCGCTAAACAGTATGGATCATACAGCACCTGGGGAAATACTAGATCTGATCCGTGGAAAAAAGCGATAATTATAACAAAAGTGAGTCAGTGCATTCACATCCGCTAAGGTTCAATGCCGCTATAATGTTGTTTCTGGTAACTGGATGTCAACAGTGTCCTTCCTATCTCTGTACTGTGTGATTCCCTCAGTCTACTGCAGTTATCACCAGTTATTGTTCTTTGTGTGTGTTACACTTCGTATGATCCTTCGTTTGTAGGGTTGCTATTTTTCCCTTCACGCTACAGTACCATTACTGCTGTGTTATTACCTCTGGAGAAGTGTCACTATCTGTACCACTGTACTAATAGTGCTGGCGCAGTGCCCACGAGACAGTACCACTGGACCATGTACCACTGGATCAAGAACCACTGTACCAAGCACCACTGGACCAGTACCGCAGACGTAACATATTCAATGCACTACACTGACACACTAACACAAGTGTACACACAAACACACTAAGAAAGAAGACACAAACAGGTACAGGTTAGGTGATCCGGGGTCACCTTCGTCTGGTGTTTTTCACAGGTTGTGGAAACAGGTAATGGTGATTGTGTAAGACGGTCCTCAACACCTCTTTCTGAAGGTGCAAGTAAGATCTCAACACCCCTTACTGATGGTGCTAGTAAGATCTCAACACCTCTTACTGATGGTGCTAGTAAGATCTTGATTCCTCTTTCTGATGATGCTAGTAAGATCTTGACTCCTTTTCCTGTTGATGTAAGTCGGTACTTGACTGATGTTGCAAAGTTGATGGTGCACAGCAGATCTTTATTTCTCTTTCTGGTTATTTTTTTCCTTTGTAGTTACCTTCGTTATGGTTTCATAAAAAAAATTACGAATCAAAGCCGTGAAAATAATGCGTTCTTGGAACCAAAGTTTTTCCTGAATTTCTAATTGCGCGTGAAGCTTGTACGAGAAGCTGAAGCATCTGCTTGATTGTATGAACACTTACAGTGTATTATTGCACCAACATTTACAGTGTATTATTGCACCAACATTTACAGTGTATAGTTGCATTATTTTTTAGAGAATTTAGTTGTATCATCATTTACAGAGAAATGCTGTTTCATCATTTACTCTTAAATTATTATTTACAGTGCATAAGGAATCCTTTTGGTGTTATTATAAGGGTTTTTATTAACATTTTTTAACGTTCTTATTGTTCTTACTTTCATCATTTAGAGAAATATTTTATCATATTAATGCCACAATAAACAAACATTCCATTATACAATAGAATACTACGGATATCACAGCCTAAGTCGAGTGAATAAACACAAGCATTGACTCCCGAGCATGAGGGATTTCCCTCAGGTGAGTCCATCTCTAGTGTGCATTAGTACTCAATCCACCGGATGGACCAACAACCTGAGTCTCTCCTCATCCCCTCAGTACCAATGAAGCTCTGGGAAAGACATACAGCAAATAGATTTCTCGTGAACAGGTGAGTTTCCCAAGGTTAGTTTTCCTTTTGTGCTGTAGTTGAGGCGGCGACGGTGAGGGCGAGGAGTTCCCCCACATAAAGACTGGCGACTGAGGTCTGGTGTCCATCAGTACTGGTGGAGGTGAGGGAGAGAGAACTCCTGGCCAACACTTCTGTTATTCCTCACCACCAGCACTTCTGAAGCTTTTCACTTGAGTCTTTTGCAACTTAGTGTAACGAAAAGTTACTTAAGTGACTCAGTTTGTAATCACCTGTGAGAACGTTAAAGACCAAAGCTCCCAAATAACTTCATTAACAAGTAAGTTATTTTAGGTAGTGTTTGTGTACCAAGGACAGGTAACCACTGGAACTTTTACACTCTGTTGCTGACAAAAGAGCTGTTATAATGACTGCTTTTGTTCGTCTAGAAGCTGACAGTGTTATCATTTACTCTACCTTTTTGTATTTTCTTAAGAATTTGGAGCTTCACATAAAACAATACATTACATGTCGTGTACATGTAACTGTCCGGAAAATGTTTGAAGAGATTTATGCTCTGAAATTTAATTGATCAACCGTCTCACATATATTAATGTTATTATCGTCAGTCACAACAAGTGTATTACATGTTAAATTAACATGAATAAAAGGTTAATATTTCAGCGACTGTTTAAGTTAATTTAACAGGATAACAACAGCGCACTTTCATGTCAGTGTTGGTTGTTTTACGAGTGTTACACTGAGCTGCCAGTGACCTCCACGTTACTGATGACTGACCAGGTCACCATCAGCGGACGGAGGGTCAAGCCGCCACTACTACTAGAGCACAATGACCCACATGGGTTTAGCGCTTCACTTAAAAAAAGGCTAAATGATTAGTTTCATTTTTATTATTATTATTATTAAAGATTCGCCGGTATTCTCCCGGCCCGGGCCTTTTCCAAGTGGTGGCCCGGCCTTGGCTCCCTCTTTAGGGAGTGTCTGAGACCTAAGTCTCCCATGGGAGGAGGTACAAGTACCTCCTCATCTTTGGGACCGACTGTCCCCAGACCTAGCCACAAGCTAGGCCTCTCTGGTCTGTCATCCCCGCCCCAAGGGGGCTAATGGGAATGACAGTCTTGTGAGCTACAAGCTCGGGCTCAGGCACCTACCCTGCCCTGGAAGGGCTGGGCATGATGTCGATCTTCATTTTTTGAAGAGATACAAGAAAAAAAATACATATTAACATTATGCAAATATAATTCCAAATATTATATAATATATATATATATTATATATTATATATATATATATATATATATATATATATATATATATATAGAGTTGATGAAATTCTACTATTCATTTTTTTCATATAATAAATGTTATCAGCAACACATCAATATGTTTAGTATTGTCTAAATTATGTTGCAACATTAGAAATTCTTGCAGACTTTTAAAATCCAAAAAGACAGTAATATCGCACTAGTGAAAACTTCTTCGTAATCTTTGACCTAAGATTAGTCATTAATACATTTTGACCCGTTCGGTTCGTGGCTTTTTGTTGGTGTGACCTGGGAAACTGTGTCGTGAGAGAGAGAGAGAGAGAGAGAGAGAGAGAGAGAGAGAGAGAGAGAGAGAGAGAGAGAGAGAGAGAGAGAGAGAGAGAGAGAGAGAGAAGGGTTTCCGGTGTACTCCTTGTTCAGTGCCTTCAGATATGTTGTAGTTATCATAGAAATTTATCAACATTACCTGTCACTGCCAACATTACCTGTCACTGCCAACATTACCTGTCACTGCCAACATTACCTGTCACTGCCAACATTACCTGTCACTGTCAACATTACCTGTCACTGTCAACATTACCTATCACTGTCAACATTACCTGCCACTGTCAACATTACCTATCACTGTCAACATTACCTGCCACTGTCAACATTACCTATCACTGTCAACATTACCCGTCATTACCAGCAGCTACGTGGTGAGGTCACCTGCTATCACTACCACAGTAAAGATGTCTGCCATCAAGATACTGCTGGGCAGCTGTCTGCTGTTACTTCTGCTGCTGTCTGCCGTCTGCTCTGCCGTGCCAGGTGGGTGTTCCCCTTTCGTCTCTAGTGTTTACACTTTATGGTAGACAACTTTCTAAGTGCACCTAAGTTGCGAGTCTGCCCATCGCTTACTGCACGGAGAATCGAGCCTTCACAGCAACTTTAAGATGGAATATGGTTACCGAGTGTAGCTTTGAATTGATGCACCAAGGAAGTAGGAATCTAAAGTCAGATGCCCCTCAGTATATAAGGATTTGAACCTCCCATAAGTATCACTCATGTGCTGGTCGACTCCCTGGAGAATCCTTTAACTGGTGAGCCGTGTAGGCAAGTCCCCTAGCACCTGCTGCCCCTGTTCATCTAGCTGGAGTTGATATCGGTAATAAACAGCCATCACAGATCATGTCTCGGTGAATGGTATGATCAACCAGAAACAAATAAATACTTAAAGTGGACCTAAGATAAGAACTCCAGTGGAAGTAAGTTACACTCTTTGGCTTATTTGGGTTATCCTGGATTATTAACTCTCCTACTTATAAAATATCTTTTCATTTCTGTTTTCTAGTGAGTAAAGGAGAGGCGAGGAGCAACAGGACTGAGCGTCAAGCAACACTACCAAACGGCCTCCCTCCTGTGAGGATAGCTGGCGGCCGCGCTGCTCACTTGCCTGGCGTGGTGAGTACCTGTGTGTGTGTGTGTACCATTTAATAGTCGCAGTATATCTGCAGAACTCTATTAAGCAATATTATTGTAG